GACACTTCAAAAAGAGCAGAGAGAACTGCAGGAGCTGGGACAGTCTCTGAGGAAGAAGGAGCAGGAGGTACTGTGGCGGGTTAACCCCTTGTCCTGCAAGTGCTGTTGTACGTACCGTGTTGGGGGTTGTGGGTTTCAGCTGAATTGAAGCGTGGAATGTGCCCTCTTACTTAGCATGTTTATGGAAATTGTAATCAACTCTTCTTTTTTTTATTTATGTGCCAACCATATGGAGGAAAAGTAAAATCATATTAAAGAAAGAGTATAGAGCAGTATTTTTCATGTAAAAGTTGGTGAGGGAGCACGAATAGGAACAGAGTGAATTTGTTCTTCCATTCAGTATATTGCTGTGCTTAGTCCTTGCATTATGTGCTCATAGAAGAGGTGAGGTCAGAAAGGTTTCTGGCTGTCGTCTTGTCCAAAACCCTACCTAAAAGTAGGGCTTATTTTAAAAGAATTATTTTACTGCTTTTGTAAAAAATGGAGTTCAAACATCTCTAAATCATTTTAGAACACTTTCATAGATTTTTTTTATAATTTATTTTTTCTTCAGTTTGTGATTAGTAGTAGGTAATATTATAATTATTATGGAAATGTTGCAGGTTAGCAAGCTACAAGAACAGCTAGAAAGTACGATGCAGAAACTAGATGAAAGTAAGCAGCTACTGAAAACCAACGAAAACGGTGAGTTTCTACAATTGCATTTCTGCCTCTAACAATGACATAGTGATCTAGCTGCTACTGCAAATTAAGGGAAGCAACTTTACAGCTTTACTGGTGTTCTTTTTGGAAAGAGCTGTGACTGTTGCCCTTTATGGAAAAGGAGCTTCTCTCTGTAGTGAGCATGCAAGCACCTGGAGCTGCCAGGAGAGGAGACTTGGTTGTGGCTGGGCCTCGAGGGCAGAGTGCATGTAGGGAGTGAACTGAGGAGGCACGTGGGGGTGGAGGAAGCTTGTGGTGATGCTTGAGCTTAAGGAGGACAAAGAGCCCCCCCAAAGGCTCCCCCCCCCCCCAGCTGTGACTTTTCTGAGGAAAGGCTACTTGCCATTTTAAACAGCTTGTGAGAGGTAGGCAGTGAGCTTGACTTTTCTCTTTTGTCTTCAGTAATCACATGGTTAAACAAACAGCTGAATGAAATTCAGATGGCAAAGAAGCCAGAGGCGGCCGCTGGTGCGCACAGTGGAGTTCGGGCTGCCGGCCCTCCTCATGGCCTGGTAAGGTGCAACTGTACTTGTGCAGAGAGGGTTCTAATTTATAGCTAGATACGTTTAATATTTTAAAGTTACATGTTTTCATTAAGAACGTGAATGTTTGAAAAGTGTTTTTTTTTCTCTTCTCAGTAGGGAGGCTCAAATGAGCATTAGCTTTCCAACTGTGGTTATTTGTTAATTTTGGAATTTTGAATCTCTACCAAAAAATTACTTCAAAAATAAGTTTCCTCCTTTATGGATGTATTCTACTTCTCTTACAGCCTGACCAACCCTCCTTTCTCAGCTCAGGAATCCATCATCCCCTCTCTCCTCTGTATGCCTTCCAGAATGCCCCGGAAGCAGCACACAGCAGAAATGTCAGTGTTGGGGCGGGTGCTGTGCGGGGCGGGGCGGGGGTCAGACCTCGGTGTCCTAAGCGTGTCTCAGAGCACACTGGGGCTGGCTGCACGGCCCGGTAAGAGGGTTGTGGTCATCTTTGCACCCTCTGCTGCACAGAGGTGCTGTGCAAATAGAGACACTGAAGTTCCCTCTTGAATACATTTACTAGTGGGTCATCATAGCTGGAAGCAGCTCTTTAACTTCCAACTCCTAACGTTTCTGCAGGTTCAGTTTAACACTCAGCTTTCCAAAATGAATCGATGTTCAGATGTTCAGACAGCGACTACAACTGGTCATCCAGCAAATAAGGAGAAGTAAGAGACATCTAGTGCATTTTTTAGTGTTGTTTTGAAATCAAAATTTTTGTAAAGCCATTTGCTGTGTGTGTGGCACTGAGCAGAACATCTCCAGTACTGAGGCAGTTCTGCCATCTGCCTTTCTCCGTCAACACATTAATGGCATTGAAGTTGTGGCAGATTGCGTTGGACACTACACGTGGTTTATAATTAAGAGCCATGCATTCAGGAGTGGATCCCAAGGAACAAAAGTTCATTGTCTCCTCTTGTGACAGATCTAAGGCTATCAGGTGATGGGTCAAGTGAAAAAAATTAGTTTGACTATTCTTGACCCATTCAGTGATCATTTACCTTTAAATGATAAAGTTCATAGGAATGCAGTAGTTCCACTTCAAGTTAAGGTATTTCTGAATTAGTCTGTATCCACACTTGCTGTTAATGCACTGCTAACCAATTACATTTGCTTAAAACGTTAATGCACTGCTAACCAATTAACGTTTTAAGCAAATGTAACTTTTTTATTTCTAGTGGTGAAGGTTTGGGGCTGGAGTCAAAGTATTTCAAGAAAAAAGATGACAGCATTCCTTTACGGGGGATTAGTCAGAACACACTTAACTCGGGTAGGTATGGGAATAACCAGACAAGGCCTGTTGGCCAGGTACTTAAAGGGCTCATCGTTGCAGATCTGTGACCAGGGTCTTGCTTCTGCTGCTCTACAGAGTACCTGAAGCCGTACTTGCCAACCAAAGCCCAGCCGTCACCAAAAGCTGCAGCAACACCCACCTCCGCATACTTTCCTGGGCAGTAGACAGGTTCTTCTGGACGTCCTCCACTAACCATGCCAGGGACTCCTGGGTGTCCTGTAACAATGTATTAGTAAAGTATCAATGTGAACTGACCTAGCTTTGCAAGCTGGCTGTTTTCTTTGAGAAAGGTGCTATCATCTTGCCTTTTTGTGATTCTTGAGCCTGAAGCTAAAGTTTTAAGGGACCGTGGTGGGAACATGGCTGTAGTTTGGCCACAGGGGCCGTGCAGGGTTTTCTCTTGGCAGAGTGGGACTGTGTGTGGCAGCTGCTGGGGTGCGTGGGCTCTGCTCAGAGGGGTGTCTGAGACAACATGGCTCCGTCGGCACGTCTCGACTCCTTTCAGAGAAAGGATGATGCAGATGCAAACACTGATCTCCCTTACAGGTTTAACTTTAAGAACTTGCTTTGTTTTGGAACCAGCTGATTTGAATGGCATATAGACTTAAAAAAGCTATTTAGTATTCAAGATACCAAATTATTTCACCAAAGGCCTAAAATTAGAACTTAAAATTCTCCCTCCTGGTTACCTGAACTTTTCAGGCATAAAACACTATAGGGTGAAGTAACTGACAAGTTAACTACTGAAAGCATCCGTAACACCTAAAATCTACATTATTCTTACTAAATGTACTTTGCAGCTCTAAGACTGTCCTGAAATTTAGGAGTTAAGTTTAGGTGGACTGCGTCTGTTCAGCTTGTGCTGCTACCTGGGTTCAAATGCTGGAACTGTAACAACTTCATTCTGCACCATCTTTTAACTGGCATCCAAGTATTTGTAATATGCAAAATACATTTTAAAAATATGCATATTTGCAAATATTTGTGTATTTCTGTTGTTAAAGAGATTTCCAACCTTCTACCTTAATTATTTAAAAGTATCCTGAGGACTGTATATTTACCTGGTTTGTTTTGCAGTGCAAAATGTGTACGCTTGTTTATAACTCGCCATGTGTTAAGTTTCAATGGAAATATTAAATGGTTTTTATCAAACCTTGACTAGTAACGTTTTACAGAGCACTAACCCAGCTGGGCTGAGACCGCAGGGTGAGGTAAGTGCCACAACAGCACCACTGCGTTCACCTCACCTCTTCTGGAGTTCCGTCTTCTTCTCACCGGCCGAACTATAACACATGCTAGCTACAGAGCTTTGATTAAGGTTTTAAGAGACATTAACAATTATTTAAAAATTCATTAAAATATTCAACTTTATTAACAGTATATTTACATCTTTTTTTTCCTGCTCTTTGTCAACCATGGTGAATGTTCAAAGGTAAAAAAGCATTAAGCAATAACCACGAGATGAAAACATTTTAAACCTATACAATACTTTATACACAAATTTATACAAAGGAACACTTAAATAATACAACCGGACACAAAAATATACACTTTTAGAGAAATTCACATCGGTAATTGTATAAAGCTCTTCTGTACTAAGGGTCCTGAAAATTTAGGACTAAAACATTAGCTCTGTAATGCAAAAGGGTTATTGTGACAGTCCTCAAAGGCCACTATATAGCGCGCGGACATAGTCAAGGCTATCAGCTTGTATCTCGGTCTGTGTATTCAAGTTTTGAGGTCCTTTATGATTATGCAAACATCAGAAATAGTGGTAAAATAAACGGTACTGAGGAAAGCAGAGTTTTAGAGCCAGTATTAAAATCTGTAGGCTCAAAACAGCCACTTCATAGTTAAACAAGTGTTTGATACTACCGTTTATTCAAAAATAGAAAGAGTAAATGCACTTACATAAAAATAACTTTTACTGTTCAGCAAGCGTGCTCATGTGATTTTTATATTAGTACAAACTTAAAAAAGAAACCTGCCACGTGACTTTTGAAACAAATGATACAATTCACCTTCTCCCTACTGGAGTTACATTTACATTAAGGCTTTGAATCACCTGACCCAAGGTTTTACAACACGAGCGCAGGCTCCGCGGGGCTGCCGGCAGGTCCTGCCGAGACTCGGGGGGACGGGAATTAAAGCTCACCACCTCCGGGAACCGGGGCTCGGGCTCACGCCTCGGCTCTGCTCCTCTCTGCCACCCAACGAGAAGGGAACGCTTAGCAATAACAGGATTTCATGGCGAGAGACAAGTAGGTAACAGTTTGTTTTTAAAAGCAAGTTATTAATTCCATGGCAACGTCTTTGGAGAAACTTCCTCTTTTTTTTCTTTTACTCCTACAGTTTTCATGCAGAAAGATACTTCTTAAGATTACCTTAAGAAATTACATTTTTGATGGAATTGGAATGTGTATCCCAAACTGCTGATGAAAAAATGTCAGAGAGATCTTCCAGGATTTTTGTCATACGTTGGTGTCTTGCAGTAACGGTTCTTTAGCCTCGCCGGGAGCTTGAGGGCTGTGGGGATGGCCGTGGCTGCCACAGTGTTTCTTCCAGCTGCTGGGTCGCACGTTTAGATTCGTGTGTTCGGGAATAAACAAGGCAACGAGTAGCGCCAGCAGCACCGAGCACGCTCCAAACAGGAATGGGGGTCCGGGAATTATAGAATTCTGAAAACAACAGCGACACCACCAGGTAGTAGCGACCCTTTCACACATGTTAACAGGCTGCAACTGCCAACGACATGCATTTCAGGAAGGGGAGGAACTTGCTATCCTAGCAATCAAAGGATTTGTTACATCCCAAGAATTCTAGGAGAGGGAGCATTATGGGTCTTATTCATATTTTTTTGGATCAGTAAGTAAATTTACCTGTTGTAAATGGTACTGTGTGACACTGCCTCCTGATGGTGATTCAGGCATGGGGAGTTCATTCAGTTCAACGTGAAATATATAGAATATAAAACCATAAAGTGCTGGTCCCAAACCATTACACAGTCCTCTAATTCCTGTTATCATCCCTTGAACAACACCTGGGGAAAATGAACCACACTGTTACCCATCGGTATTTATACATATATCATTAGCTATTTTTTAATGGCTCAGTAAAACTATTCACCTTCACAGGGATGGAAGCAGGAAAGCTTCTCTAAATGGCGTTGCACTATGGGTAGCAAAAAACAAGGGGCACAGGAAAAATGTCATTATAGTCCACTGAAGGTTTTTTTCCCCCGTTTTCCTCTAAGCACAGAGAGTACTTGCCGTGCTGTTTACCGTCAGAGGCCAGTACAGCTACAGTGCCCCTGCCGTCACTGGCTCGGGCAGGAGAGCACACTGCGTGCAGCCCGGGCAGCTGAGCACACTTGGCACAAGCAAGGAAAAGACACAACATGTGACATTTGCTGAATAATTTGGTACCACTGGGACCCGCCGAATGTGTTCCCTCTGTGCCAGAAGGGCGTGATGTGCACATCTGTGCACCTTCCAAGTAACTCAGTGTATGGGCTGCTCTGTGCCAAGATTCAAGTGACTGACTGGTACTAAGACAACGCCCTGACTAGAAAGTGGAGTCAGAACCTACCCTGCTGGTCAGCGTCAGCAGTGCGCGAGACCAGGGCGCTCACGGCGGGGAAGGTGATGCTGGACATGGCTGCCACGGCCCCCGCTGCCCACATCATCCTGCAAGACACAGAGTGGAAGGAGCCACCCTGCCCGGGGCATGCCCCTAGGCGGCTGCGCATGCGCTGGCGCGTCCGCCCTCCGCAAAGCTCAGCTGCAGAAGAGCCACGTCTCGTGCAGGGACAGCAACGAGGTTTACGTACCAGGGCTCTGATCCAAAGCCGTACCATGCAAGCTGTAGTATCTGAAATCCCAGGCCCAGGAGTATGGTATTCTTATTTCCAATGGAACGCATAAGTAAACTCAAAACTATTGTCTGATGGGGAAAAAGTAGGAGAGAAAAGAAAGAAGAAGAAAAATAATGTTTTATTCTAAATGTCAAATACATGCAAATAAATAAAAACATACATTTTATAAAGCCAAATAAATTCCTCCAAAGCAGCATTTAGCTAGGTATTCAGAAGCCTCTACCAAAAACCCAGCAATCATTGAGCAAGTTTATCACAATCTCCTTTGGTGAGCAAAGAACTGAGTTTTCCCAACACAACACACACTGCTCTGGATGCCGCTGAACCAAACCCTGGTTGGCAAGCTGGTTTTTCATCTCAGCTGAAGCACGAGTGTTACTCCATTGCTCAAGAGCGAGACCAGCAGCTCCAGGAAAGGCAGGTGCCATTTCGGGAACCGCTGTGCTACCACAGCTCTCAGCTCTTTCCACATTACCGATTGGTGAGGTACAGCAGCAGAAACTCACCTGTGCAATAATGGAAAGAATCCCAAGGACCGCTATAAATGCTGCGACACTCTCAGATGAAAATCCCATTATCTATATTAAAAAAGGCAATTTGATTAGTAACCGCAAACTGCATATTGCGATGTCACAAACATCAGCAAGAGAGCACCCAGTGCAGAAGACTGGTATATTCAGCTCTTCAGTGACTTAGGAAAAAAGCTGCAGGGTGGTTTTTTCATTATATCAAGCAAGTGTACAAAAATAAAGGGGCATGAATAGGAAACAAGGAAACGGTTCCCTCCAAAAATACCAAAGCAGTTTAACATAGTGTACCTCATAGTCCAAAACCAACGTAAATAATGACAACCAATTTGTAACACATTGCTCACTCTCCTCGCAGGAGGACTTAAATCAGCTGCTGGAAGCTTTTCAATTATACTAGTTATCTATACTGTCTGTATTAATTCAGCAATATTGCCAACTCTCCTGTAACTTTACTTTTGTTGAAATCCGTATCAAAGGGCCAAGTTACCTGTCTGAGGTATAAGAAGAAGCTGGAATATTGACCCGCCTCTGGGAGGTAGGAAAGAAAGACTGTTATGCAGATTAGCAGCACGACGGAGTCCTGGCCAACTTTCTTCAGTGACTAGGGCAAGAGAAAAGTATAATAAACCATTAATCTTCAGAAGAGCATACCTAGCAAGGATCTGTAAAGTGTGTCAGTGAAGCTATTATGTAGCACCACCAAAATGTTCCCTGCGTGTTTAGCAAAACATGAGCACTGACACATGGCCAAACAGAAAAAACAGGTTTTGTTTTTCAAGCTGAAAAGGTAGCACATCTTCAGTCTCTTCCCAGTCTTGAAAGCTCAACATTAACAAATAAAATACTCCACATATTTCAATAGCTTACTGCAAAGGGGTCAGCCTGTTCCCATGAGATAGGTGCCCCCCAGGAGGCTGGCCTCATCTTCTCCGGCAGCGATTCTGGTACCGCAACAAGGATAAAGCAGATGTCCAGCAGGGCTATTGCTGTGGCCAGCACCACGACCAGGCTGTCCCCGTAGACTCGGCCGAGGTAGGCACCAATAGCAGGGCTGGTAACTAAACTTGCTGCAAACGTTGCTGAAACCTACAACAAAAAACAGCCGTTAAGATTTTCAATTGTAAAAGCCAGCTCTATTATTCCCCATTTCCCCTCCTTTTCAGAAGCCTAACCATTTTAATCAGGTAGTGATTAACCTTTCCCCCGTGACTCCATGGCAGCAGCTGCATGTTTGGAATGGCCAACATTTGTCAAGAAAACCTTTTGACAACTGGAGAGCAGCGTGAGGCTCGCAGCACTCCAGCACACACTGACTCGAGCGGGTTTAGTTCACTACACAGGCTGCTGGGACCTCTGGAAAGTGATACGCAGTATTTAATCTTCATGTTTGTGAAACATTTAATGCCCGGTAAGAAAAAAACCAGCGTGTATCAAGGGCATATTAAATTTAATATGCTGGTTAATCCAGCTTGATACAACGGATCTTCAGAAAGGAGGAATAACTAAATCCCCTCAAATTACATCATTAACACTGGTAACAACTGCTAAGAGAGCCATCTGAAAGACAGCTTTTAACACAGTTATATTTTAAGTTAGAAGCAGAAAATTCTAGAGATACAGACCTGGATGACAAGAACAATTAAACACAAAAACCTTCCTGCAATCTAAAATTTACTTGCCACACAGAAGAAACACAAATGCTATTTTGGAAAGCTTTGTCTGCTAAAGTGTGTAGTATTGAATGCCACAGGAACAGAGACAAAACCCCACATACCAGACCATAGGCCATGCTTCTTTCATGTTCTTGGGTTATGTCTGCTACATATGCAAAAACCACAGAAAACGTCACTGCAAAAACTCCAGAGACAGAGATGACAGCAAAGTACCACCTGAGAACATAAAAAAAGTTAGACCAGCCAAGTAGAAACAAAAAGTCTCCACTTACTTACAATCCAAGCACTTGAGAAAGCAAAGTATAAAACGGCAGCCACACTTCCGGTTACAGAGGTTACTGCATGCACTAGCTACCATTGGTAAGACTCATTTCTGCACCGCTGGTTGATACGTCAGTAACATGGCCGCCATGAAGACCTGACCAGTTTACTGGATACCTTCCTAGTATCTTTTCCAAATGTGCTTAACTAGGAAGTGGTTTGAGCACAGAGCTCAAAACCTGCAGCTCTTAAAACTCTGACCAGGCTGTTCGGCCTCATAGCAGCTACTTCAGTTAGGCTGTGCTCTCCCAAATTTGCAACAAAGGAATACAAAAGCCTCACCCTTCCATGAAGCACAAACAATATTTTCTCCACAACACTACACACATAAGTGGTGTAGAGCAACCTTGGCAAGGAACAGTAAATCTAGTGTGTAGGAATTTACTAACCATGGGCTGATCTTCATGAGCGGTATTGGTGCACAGGTGAAAAATACCGTTAGCAGCAGGAAGGACTTCCGCCCCCAGACATCAGACAGGGCTCCTATGAGCGGGGCACTGAGGAATGATAATAAGCCCTGAGCGGCAGAAAACATTGGAGTTATTTGTAAGCGTTGAGAGCCCCGAGAGCCGGCCGCGCCCCAGCCCCACAACACCCCGGCCCTGCCTTCGTTGGGCCGCAGGGCAGCGCACCAAGGGCCACACGGCCAAGCACTACCGGCCTTCCAGCCCTCGTCTGGCTGTCTGCGTTTGAGACTGGTTACCTCAGAGCGACAGGAACATCGAACCGCAGATGATCCAGTCACACTAGCACTTTTATGAACTACGTTTTATAGTTTTATATATGTAGAATTCACATAAATAGAAGTAATTGAGAATACCCTACTGGAGCAACAAGCTCCAAGCGAAAAATTCTAAAATGTCAACACCGCGTGTATCATTTGGGATTAGTCAACCACCATTTTACTTGCTGGACACAAACGGCAGGTCCAGGCTAAGCAATATCTTACTAAAAGGAAAATGATGCCTGTTTGCTTTTTTCAGTGGCAGTTTATCCCCTGTTTTATTCGTACCATGGAAGCTACACTGAAAAACCTCCTGAAGGTTTCTCTCAGTTGGCAGTCATTGCTATGTTCCTCCCACCACCCAGTCTAAATGGTACTTCGAGTACCTTCTGTCACCTTACCTTTACTCCTTGAATTAGACCATTCATTAGAAATGTATGTTTTGGGAAGGTTTCATGCAAAACCTAGAGAAAAAAATACAACCACTGTCATTTACACAATATTATTAACTATAAATATTACCCATGATGGCCCCAGCTTTTATAGTGGCAGATCTCAAATAATCTATTTAATATTTAATATTTAATTCACATGGAAGTTACTTTGAGATTTTAGCTTTACTGGATACAGTTCTCAGCTCTCTCAACACTGGGAAGGATTCACATCATCCAACTTCAGTGTCTGGAATCTAAACAGACCACAGAGAACCTAGGACAGCGTTTTAGGTGGAGTTTCCTCAGGGACCTTCAAACTCTTCGTTCCTTTTAATTAGCAAGCGTGTGTCACTCTCAGAGATCAAATGCAAGCGGAAGGTGACCGCGCGCATTAGACACGCTGGTACTGTCTCACTGATCACAGAGGAGCTCTGACTGGCCTGACAGGGTCTGCCTCTGAAGCTCCCACTGAAAGCACAGCCAGCTCAGCAAAGATCTCCCTACCTACGCACACGCCCATGCATAATTTTACCAGTTTTCAAGCATATTTTTCTCCTTACATTTGTAACATGCCAACTTTTTGCAGCATCTTGAATGGAAAGATAATTTAATTACTGTCTTTTAAAGTCAGAAAATGCACGTAAGCTTCAGTGTTAGTAGACTTGCACATAAACGTCTGTGCTGATTCATGGCATTGCTTTAATTGAGTAATTTTAAATTCCTGATTTTGTGTAAAAATACAGAACTTTCCCCTTGCACAACAGAGCAGCTCAACAACATGTAATTTTCGCTTAATTCAGGAGCTGTTCAGTGCCTCTGCAGCCATACCCCACCTCCCATCCCCCGAGAAAAAGCTCAGGTGCATCACATACCACCAGAGTAGGTGCTGTCAAGAGTCCCCAAGCAAAAAACTCCAAGAAGATGACTATAACAGCGTGGTAGACACTGGGTGAACCTATTCCTTGAGGCTAAAACGAGAGAATAAACAGGTGATGAAAATATCTAGCAGTCTGTCACAGGCATGAGAAACAGCAGAGGGATTAGGAAATGAAACAGGACTCAAAACACCAGAATACGGTTACTCAAGCTAAGGTGCTACTGAGTGAAATTCCCTTTTTAACCTTTTGCTGCTGATGTCCTGAAGTGTCTTAATCCTCTGCAGAACACAAAGTGCTCTCTCATCTCAAATTAAAAAATAAACCACTTACACTACACCCTTCTGGGAAACAGGGATGCTACTGAAACCACAAACAGACTTTTTTACGCTTAAGCCTACACAATGCAAGGAAATCAAGTTTGCCTAACTTCAAAACATGGCAGCGTTCACACTCAGCTATCCCAAAGCCTAATTACCTGTCTATCAGCATTATAGCACTGCTGTTAGTAAGAGGCACCACAACTACCTACACAACTTTGATGGCTCTAAATCGGGAAAGAAAAACCTGAACTAATGAATGCCAGGAGTGAATCTGGGCACTGGTCGCTTCGCAAATAGTGAGAGCAGAGGCATTAGCTACAGCGTGCTTCAAACCTAGGAAGAGATCCAGATAAAAGATTTGAAATAAAGATCTTCAAATTCTTTGGTGATTTAGCATAATCCAAAGCAGTTTTTGAGGAGAACAAAAAGAGCATGGGTGGGACAACCTGCTCATCTCGTACACTGTAAACGCTACCCTGTCCAACAACACACCACAGTTCATCATGTGCAAGTCAAGGAAATGGTGCACTAATTATTGTCATATGAAGGCAGTATGAACAACTCATCAGAAATCCCACATGCATTCTCCAGGCTCAGACGTGCCGCCGGCGGAGCGGTACCGACCGGGCTGGGCCCAGCGCTCACACCGAGCCAGCGCCCACCGGCCGAGCAACTCAGCCCCTGCTCCAGAAGGCTCAGGCACACACCAAAGTGCAGGAAATTCTACTTAAACCTTCAACAAAATAAACTCCTGGAAAGAGGTTGCCCAGTGTGGAATCTCCAGCCCCCAAACCTGACCAGACAGCCCTGAGCAAACTGCTGGAGCTGGCCCTGTTTGGGAGAAGAGCGTGTAGCTTGGTTAGAGATGTTCAGAGGTGCCTCCCAACCTCAAATACTACACAACTTGAAGTTTGACTTAACACAATACTAGAATCTTTCTTTTATGCAAGTCATACATAGCTTTTTCTTCCAGATTCCAAGACTTCCAACCCACAAAGGAAAAAAAAAAGGCAGCCTTTTCAACAACTGTAGGAAACAATACCAAAATCCACACTAGCCATTCACCCCTGCTGCTAGCAAAGTCCAGCCTTTTCCAAAGGAGCCGTACCAGCACCTAAGAGGCAAGCTACAAAAGCACCTCAGCACCATGCTGGTTTTCTTTCCCCAGCCCTCTCCAGAATGTAAAGACATACCGGGCACATATTTCTACTATTTTTTCAGCCTATTCTCTTAGAGAGGTAAATTAACAGTCTTTACAGGCACAGAAAATGGCTATAATTATCTTCACTTCCCACAATTCATTTTGCTTTCCACCCAAACCCCTTATTTTAGTTTTCGCTTAAAAATTTATCCATCTCTGCACAAACTGTAAGTCACAACCTCGGCTGCTCGGCTCAATCTGACACAGGAAATTGGGCTCATTCTCACAGACCCGACTCCCGCCAAGTTACTGGCTGGTGACCCCCAAGGCATTACAGGTGGTGAGGCTGGAGTCATGACCCACCCTTGCCCCTCCACGCTCCAGGGGCCGAAAGCGCCTCTGATCTGTTCACGCAGAGCAGACACAAGCTCCAGAGCCATGGGTCTCTGTGCTGCCTTTGGGCAGCTGCTCAGAGCTCACGGGCACAAAGCACACCAGAATGGAACCCACAGCAGCCCTGCGCAGCGACACTGCTGGGGCCTCAGAAGCGTGTGAGCGGGTGGCTGCTGCCCTCTGCCTCGTCACCCCGCTGTCAGCAACCTGATTGGGGGGCTCCATTACATGGGCAGAAACACACAGAAGTGACATTTAGATCACTGGGGTTAAACTCCTCACTTTCCTGTTGCCAGTGCTCACCGATCGCAGGTGCTGCTCTTACCTATAGAAAAAAGAAGTCATTTAGTTACATTTAGATCATCGCCTCTAGTTATTTTGAAAGATGGTTGTGACTATAAAGTAGTGAAAATGCTCCTGAGATGGAAGAGAGAGGGAAGATCAGTAAGTGGCTAGATTGCAGTGTGTGAGGATACGCTGTGTGTTCAGCCCACAGGACTGCAGTACCAGCCTGATGGACTCCCCTGCCCCACAGGCACAGCGCAGGTGTCCTGCCCCACACACCCGCACCACCTGCTTTACAGACCAGCTCCTGTAACCCTGTAACCTAAGTGCAACCAAATCAGAAGGCCTGGAGATAAAAGATAAAGAGCCTCTGTGTGAACAACCTGGAATGGAGATGTTCCATCTGAGTTAGTGACCATATAGCCAGAGCAGAGTGTATTTACGTCTGGTGAAATCTGTGGCCCAAAATACTGCTCTAAGGATGCCCCTTTCTGCAGTTAGAGAGAAAATGTCTTTAACCAAACTCTTTGTGCTGCGAGGCATGGCAGCGATAAAGGCGCACACGCCAGGCAAGCCCCGGAACACGCACCGGCCAACAACAGAGTAACTGCTGTCCAAGCCACAGAGGCATCAGAGAACTCCAGAGCTGCTGCTCCTCTGGGGCACAGGAAAAGTCACCCGAACGCACTTCTAGGCTCTCTCTCTCCAGCAGTGCCCACGTGAGTACCCCCAAACTCATTTCATGACCACTTCAAAAATGCCTCATCTTGCATAGGAGGGACTCCAAGTGCTCATCAAGGAAGGGCAAACTCGGAACAGTGTTGAAACCACTGGTGTTACCACCTCTCCTCTGGTGAGTCTGAGAACACACACGCAGTACAGGCGCCATTAGACATCTTTTTTCTGTGTTAGTTACTATCCCACAAAGTGAACACCAGAGAAGCACCCATTCAGCAGTCCAACCTCCTGCAGCAGCTCCCGCCTCGTGGGGGGGGGGGGGGGGGGGGGCCCCGG